AAGTAAACTAGTTTTTGGCCCACTTATTTTTCCAGTGTTGTCTTAAGAAATAAAATGTAAACTCAAGACATTCCTAATAAGGTGACTCTGACAAAAAAAAAGCTTGTTTGTTACATTATATCACTTAAAAAATTGAAGAATCCCTCTACTGAAATTAGAAACAAGAGTTTTCCCTATCATTAGAATAACCATTCCTGTAAGTATTGTTCCATACAGAATATTTTAAAATATATTACCTTCCTTTGACAGATGTATTACCTGGATTCATCATCACACATGTATCTATCAAGACCTAGGTATGCTTGACAACATTATGTAAAAATATGTAGTACTCAGCAAACACACAATACATGAATATTCTTCCCTCTTCTGCATTTGAGTCTTGAAAAATAGTGCTACAATGTAGCTTTTTTCTGTAAAAACACTAATGGTAACAAGCCAGAAAAATGGAGTGAGTGAATTGTTTATATAATGAATCATCCAATGTTTACCTTTCTATGAAACTGGCAATTGCAAAAACTCAGAAGGAAAATCCTGTTTTCACATATTCCAATGTCTCTAGAGAACTCTTGATAGGATTATGAAGAAAGATTGGGGGTTTTAAGACTGCATGGAAAAGTTTTGGGTTTTTTTCATTTACTTTACATTGCAAGTGTTAAAAAAAATAGGGAAACCTTTGGTTTAAAAGAATTGTTTTGTGATGTTTAATCTGCAAGATATATGAGTGAGACTATATGTGGAGGCAGGTCTGTAATTCCCACATTTACAAGTATTTTTAAGACAGGATCTTGAAGGTTCTCAACTCAAACTATGCTAAGTTTAAAATATGAAACTTCAAATTATTGGGTCTCAAGGATACCATTTTACATAGGTACATGAAAAAGGACTCACTAATTTAATTACCATGTGCAAATAATTTAGTTCTAACTAATGGTTAAATTAGTTTCATCTAAACATCTAAAACTTTACAAGACAACAGGCACTCAACGTAGGTAACAATCGCTGATTATTCAATTACATAGATGGCCTCCAAACACTAAATGCTCAGTGAAAATCCATAACTGTATGTGATTATTGATGCACACCAGTGGGAATTAAGCAAATATAAATTAAATTACAAACATATAAAAGATTGAGGAATTTAGTTTTTTTTTAAATCTCTTGGAAAAGAAACAGTTACCTACAGGAATATGTATGGACCCATTTAAAAATGCTTAAAGATCTGCAACTTTAAATGTTAACATGAAAGCAACTTTTATTTTCACCTCTTGTAAAAATATATGTTCTAGCTTTTTATTTAAATGGAGTTCCACCCACTTATTTGCAATCTTAGTGATGCTTATAGTTTATAAAGATACTTGCTTAGGTTTTCACAGCTGCCAATGGCATTTAAACTCATTAATATTTGTGGAAAATGGTCTCCCCAAAAAACATTGCCTATTTGAAGAGAATTTTGTAGACAGTGTAAAAAATTGATATACCAAGAGAATTCCAGTTGACTTGTAAAACAGTACAATAAATCTAATTTGGGTAGCTCACACATATAACTGGCAGTATTATACCCATGAAAACTAATCATTATTATTTTCCAGTTGCATGGATGTTGCATGCACATATATACTTGATTTTGTCTTCTTGTACTTCTAACATATTATAAACTGGTTATCTATGCTTATTGCCATAATATCAGCCTCCAAGCTGTGCATTAATGATATGACAAACTTCTGTCCATCTGTTCTCACATACATTCTCTCAGGACAGATGTCTGTGGAATGTTTTAATTTCTTTTTTTGGGTTTTTTAAGGTTACATATATATAAGAAAACAGTTAATATGTGTGAGGCCATGTTCCTCAGTGCTCATGTCAACAAACATCTGAAGCTGAAAAGCACACCTTGTATGTAAGTAGTAAGGTTTATTATTTTGTCAGATTCTCAACAGAATTCCTCCTTATATCTTAGGCTGCTCCCAAGGAATGGACGTGTGAAATCTCTGCCGAAACAAAGACCAACTGTAAGACTATAATCTTACCATCACAGCAAGGCAAAATTTAGGAATATAATACTGGGTAGAATGGTTTCAAGTCTTCCATTGTAAACATTTTGTTTATTTTATAAATAAATTTATGAAATAATATTTTCTTACTATTACAGTTCAAACACAGGTCAACAAGAGCATGCTTAGAAAGTAAAGTAATTTCAAACAGTAAATTTATCCAGTCAAAATTCATCTTAATAGCTACTGCACAGCCCTCTGTTCACAGAAAAGCTCTATAGCAATGGGATGGCCAAGTTCTCTGGTGTCAGGCACAAACACTGAGTAATTCCATGGCCCAGTCCAGCTCCCACTGAGATTCAGGAGATTTTGAATGAGGCTGTAGAAGATCCTGGCAAATCATTTGACATTGTATATCATTGGAATGACAGGGGCATTTCTTGCCTGCCCACAACTGAATGTAAATTTTAAGAGAACAAAGACTACGGGTCAAGGTCTGGCTGTACAATTGAGTGAAAGCAAATTTACAAGGAGCAGGGAGATGCCAATTGAGATGATTTTTTATTTGCATTAAATAAGTAGCAGAAGATTAGTATTCTGTTTTGTTTACATTTATCGCTGCCATATGTCAAATTAGGGAAAAAAAATCCCCTTAGTCAGAATGGTATTTTGGAACATGAGCTGTGAAATATTTTCAAACACAGAATGATGCAATTTAGATAGAAACTACTGCAGAACTCAACTGTGGCACCTTACTTGATCATCCTGATTTTTTTTTAAATGAAGCAAGATAACTATATTCCAAACTACTTTAAAAGTAACTTGATTTCCAGATTTCATTTTAAATATAAAAAATTACTAACATGATCCATCAAGAGTTAGGAAAAGTAGACAAAAAAGGATAACGATAAAAAAAGTAATAGGAATAAGTGCACAGCAATCCTTCTACTCAAAGGCCCTGTTAATCTTTGGCAACATTCATTGACTGTTACTGAGTGGCTTTCTACTTCACATTTACAAGTTTCATCACGTATGTCCAAATGCTGTAATGCTGATAGTTTGTAAGAGAATCTACATAAATTTTAATTACTTGTCTTATAGTCTCTCCTCAACAGATAAATCTAATCCCTTCACTTTTTAACAAGTGAAGATTTGGATCAATGGAAAAACATATTACATGTGCTTAAAATTAACTTTAAGGAGATTGAAATAAAACACATACATTCTAAACTGTCACATTTAAATGTTGGTAAAATTGTTCTTCTGATAATACATTTTCTTTGCAAGATAATTGTACAAATTTATATAGCCCAATATTTATGTAGAATTCAGTGTTTAAACAATGAGATCTTCACCTGTGTAAGACCAGCACAATAAGCTGAACAATTTGTACATGAACATTGTTCTTCACATGTCCCTGTGAGTCTCAGGGAGTTCCAAGATTCACTTATCCAAGCAAGCACTCTTGTAGCTTACACCAATCAAACATTGCGCCATGCTTTCCAGAAAGATGTTAAGCTAGGAAAGTAAGAGCCTAAAATTGCTGGTCTGGATTGAAAGATCAATTATTTGCATGTTCTTCCACACGGGAAAAAAAAAAAAAATCAGCATCGCTGTTCAGTAAAAAACCAAAAAAGGCATATTAAAAAATAGGAGGATGGGCATTCTACATCTAAAATGGAAGCTGTCTAAAAACCTATCATTTGCAGACTAGCCAGCTGCAAACTGGTTTTCTGACACCATTCGATATAGTAGATCCTATACAAATATTAGAATGGATTGGGAACCAAAGTTGACACATTAAATGTGCTTTTTTGTTTCCTGAGAAATCCCTCTACATTGCAAACAGGTAACTGTTGTCCCTGCCAGCCTATCACTATGTTCCAGAAAGGCAAGCAAATAAATTGTAACTTCAGTGGCAGAGCTATTGAAACTGTTAAACAAACAGAACCAAGCTGATTTTGTCTTTATTTCAAACACTGAAAGTATGCATGATTTTAAAAAAAACACAGAATAGACAAATGAATTTAGAAATATTTAGTGCTCTACTGCAAGCAGATTTATCAGAATTATGACTACACTGGAAATACTGGAAGCCTCCCAGTCCAGAGAGAGGCCCAAACTAAAACCTTAAAATAAAAATATCTCGAACTACAACAAATCTCAAAATCTAAGGGAACCTGTCATGGATGGAACCAAAATACTAGATTCCAAAGTGGCTCCATGTTTGTGCTTCCATGCCTGTTAAAGGAGGTACAGTGTGAATACTACAAAAATTTTTGGGGGTTGTTACCAGTGTGGACAAAATCCTCAGAGCTGACAGTGAAGAAATGAAGAAAACACTGAATCAGGACATGCTTTTGCTGCCTCTCAATTGCAAGATTCTGAAGAGGCTGAAGTGACACCCCAGTTGTAGACCATCCGTTTCTGGATTAAATTTCGCCGTCGCCTGAATTTTGGTGCTTGACAAAAGCCCTGATTAATAAAAAGGCAGCTGTGCTCGCTTCAACATTTTAGTTTCACAGTCGCTGTCACACACGCCTTGCCATCGAAAAAAAAAAGTCCTTTATTAACGTTTTCCCCTTTCCCCGCGCCGTCATCCTCTCGCAGGTGCCGCTCCGGGCTCCCCGGGGGAGCGCAGGCCCAACCCTCCGGCGGGGATGCTGTCTAGAAAATAAAAAAAGCACCAGCTTGGCCGACATGCCCTCGCTCCAGGGGTTGCAGCCTGGGAGCGGCGGCTCCCCGCGAGGCAGCTCCCCGCGGGCTGCACCGGCGCTTGGCAGAGAAGAGGCACCGCCGGCACCCGGCTGCCCTCGCCCCTCGGGGCGCTCGGCCGCGGCGCTGCGGGAGCGGCCCCGCCGGGGGAGGGGCCGGGCCGCCGAGGGGGCAGGGCCGCCCGCCGCAGTCACCTCGCACATACCGCGCCGGGGAGGAGGGAAAAGGGCCCCGCTCCGGCGGAGGGATACAGCCCCACGTATATAGCGGGCGGCGCAGGCTCACAGCCCCAGCACTCTGTGAGCCGCGCCGGGAGGAGGCAGCAGCCGCCGCCGCTTGTGGTCGCGCAGTTCGTGCAGCCGCCGCCGGGCCCGCCGCCGCCGCGCCATGGTAGGGGGCTCGTTCGTTCTCTCGCTCGCTCGACCCGCCGGGCGCGGCGCGGGGTGCCCGGGCTGACGCGGGGGCTGGTGTGCAGTGCGCTCGCTGCGGAGCTGGGGACGGTCGGGTTGGTGGAGCCGGGCTATTCCCGGGGAGAAGCGGGGGTGGGGAGAGCCTCGCGGGGGCCCTTCCCGCCCGGGGCTCCGCGGGGTGAGCGGGTCGGTGGCTGCGGACTCTTCCTCTCCCTACCCCCCGCCGCCTTGCGCGGGATCGCTGCGGAGCTGCGGCCCTTCCTCTTCCGCCGCTTCCTTCCCCTTTCCCTGGGCCTGCCGTGTGGGCGCCCCGGACCCGCGCCCTCCCGCCCCGCCTCGCCTTCCCTCCCCTGCGGAAAGGGCCGGGCGCGTCTCCCCGGGGCTACGGCCCCAGCACCGGGTAGGGCGCGCTGCGGGGCGGGGCGCGGGTTTGCGGGCGAGGATCCCGCTCGGCTCCGGCACCAGCTGCACTGCGCAGGGAGCGGGGGGGCGGCCGGGGGAGGGCACCGCTCTGCAGCTACTGCGCCCCCGCCGTCCTCCCCAGTCCCCCCCCAAAAAAACGCAGCCGCGGCGGCGAAGCCCATCGCTGTCTGCATTACATCATGTCTCCTCCTCTTCCTCCCGGCCCCCGCGCACCCGCCGGCCGCGGGGACCGGGGCGTTGTGCGAGTTGCTCGGTTGGAAGCGGCCCAGCTCCCGCACGGGGGGCTCGGGGCGGGAGGGGCGCAGCCTCCCTTCTCCCCAGGCTCTGCGGGGGAAGAGCTCCTGCCCCGGCTGCCCGCTGGAGGAAAGGCGATGGGGAGGGAAAGCTGGCCGCGGAGCCCGGGAGCCCTCGCGGCTGGGTGATGAGGACGTGGTGTGGCTGCCGGCTGGAGAGGGAGGGAGGGGAAACGGGGACGCACTGCAGCAGTGGGTGGCTGCTGGCCGGAAAGGGCGCCTGTTGCGCCGGCGGACTGCGAGCCTCCCGCCCCGCCGGCCGGGCGATGCCCGCCGGAACGCATCGCATCATCTGCGGAGTGCTCGCAAAAGAGAGCAAGAGGAAGGGCTGGGATTTTCCCCGCTGTTTTTCGCTTCCTACGACAGCGGAGAAACAGTTGCAGACTGACCTGTAATCACTTTTTGGCAACGTGGGTGTTCCTCGAGTCTCTCCATCTCCCCTTCCCGTAGGAGAACGCTGACATCACCAGGACAGGATTTGATGACTTGGCTGGGTGGGGGTGATGACTCCAGCCCTGGCTGGGTACCTTTGTCCTGTAGCTGTGGGGATAGTTAGTGGCTGTGCCTGTTGCTCCTCGGAAAGGTGAACCCCTTGGCAATGTAGGGTTGGGTTGCGTCCTCGGCATCGCTGGGTGTGCGAAGGTTCTGGGGTTTTGTTTTGTGGTTTGTTGTTTGGGGTTTTTTTGGTTTTTTTTTTTTTTTTTTTCCATTTGAAATATGATTTTTAGAAACGTTTAGCGAGCTCCGATTAATGGGGCAATGAACTGGTGCTGTGGGCTGGAGGTTTTTTGCCAAGGTGTGGCTCTGTTTCCTGTTCTGCAGGGCAGTGAGTCTGTTATGTAAATTCCTTAGATAATCTTTAAGTGAAACCTCGCATTTTCTGGAAAATCGCAAGGAGTGCAGGAAGTCGAGCCGGATTTTGAGCACAAGCTTTTTGCAGTTATTAAAGGAGACTGTCTTTAGCTGTTAGCATTTATACCCTTTTCTCCTTCCTCCAACACGCTGCATGCGGGGAATTATTTAATCATTACATACAGACCTTAAAAGAAACCCCCCACCGATGAGATCTGTGTATTTTCCTTAACATATAGAGAAGATTTTTAACCCTATCCTTTTCCATGCAAGAGCTTAACATTGCATAGCTGATTAATTCTCCATTGTATTTGTTGCTCTTTGCTGCAGTTAGATGGTTTTAAAACTTAATATTTTAGTGCAAGAAGGGTTTGCCTACCTTCTCTGACCTACAAAATTCTCTGTTCTATTTGTAAAAAAAGTGCAGTAAAATGTATTTAAAACACGTTAGTACCTTGTATTCTTCATTATCTGTAATTGGGCATGTAAAATTCCCTTTTTTTTCCTTTACTAGGAAAAGGCATATTTTTCCATAAAGAACTAGTTAGCACCTTTGAGTCCAAACTGGAGCTTTTTGTGATGGTCTATCCATATATAGGGAGAGGCTTCTGGAAGGATGTGACTATCACAGCCAAGCTCTAGAAAGCCCTTTTGATTGCCCACTGAATTGCATACCTTTGTATGCAGCAGTGCCCCTTGATGTACAGAAGGTCATAAGCAGGCATTTTAAAACTTGCCACTTAAAATTTTATATAAAACAACCTGCATGTCAGGATGAGGCACCTTAAACTGCTTGACTGAATGGAAAAATAATATGATGCGTGAAAGCTAATTTTCTTTGTCAGGGGTGGCAAAAAAATCTCTGTAACACTGTGATGTAATTAATCGGATGTAATTTGCAGCAGAGCCCCTCCTGTGGGGCTGGCAGAAGGCTGGAGCCTGCTGCGCTGAGCTGGGGAGGGCGGGCAGGGCTGGAGCAGTGGGTGCAGCTTTAGCCCACGCGTGTGCGGTGCCCCCGCACTGCACTGCTGGGAATGGCATGTGCTGTGAAACCCTGACACATGGCTTTGGGCATCTTGCAAAGAGCCTCCCCTGTGTCCTTCACTGGACCAAATCTGATTCACCAAGTTGCAGAATGGTGTTTGGTTCTTTATACGCCGTTTCAAACTGAGTTAGCATATATGTTTCTGGAAACAGCTGCATGGTGTAGGTGAGTGCAGTCTCCTTGTAGAGACAGAATTTCAGGGTTTGAGTAATGATAAATCACTTCTGAAATTGAAAGAAATGCCTCATGGCTTGACAGAGCTGGCAGTAAACAATATTCTAAAATGTTCTATTCTTCGTGTAGGCTGATCAGCTGACTGAAGAACAGATTGCTGGTAAGTGTGTTGATGATAATTTTTTTTTTTTTTTGCTAGCTCTTGTGACTAAAAGAAAATATATTATCTCAAGCCTAGTGGAAAAAAAACATCTTTGACAATTTTAAATCTGTACTGCCACTTTTGAAAAACAGGCACTTAAAAAATCCCAAGCTAAAAATATTCTGGAAGATTACTGGTTCATTGCCTCTTAATTTAGACTTCTTATTCCTTGAACTACAGATAATGATATTTTTTTAGCTGTTCAGACTTGAGCTAAGTTCTCCTAGATTTCTGGCAAACAGAAATAATTACTAGATTCAAATGAACTACTTAGAGTCAAAGGAGACCTAGGTACTCTTTAATAGAGTGAAGATGAACTACAAATGAAACAGCAACAAATAAACCTCACATTGGTTTATTGCACATTGCTACAATTCAGTGTCTTTTAAATAAATCTTTTAATAAACTGCCTGTAATTCAGGCTGGTCAGGAGAAGCATTTGACCTTCTGGAAACCGGACACCGATTTGTGGCTGACACTAATTCTTATTGTCTGCTGACTTAAAAATAAGTGGTAAATGACAATGCCTTTGTTCCTTTAAGTCTGTTAAATGTTAAGGGAACCCAGTGGCTCCTTTCCCTTATTTCAGACAGCTGTTGTTTGTGGAGCAACTGTGCCTCAGGCAAGATGCAGATGCATGGAAATGAATTATGGAGTTATTAATGCAGATAAATTGCTACATGAAATAAGTTTGAATTGACTATGAAAATTGTGTTGGTATTGTAAGTAATTTTTTATTTGTGTTTGAGAGTGTTCTCTCAATACAAGGACATTTAGATAAAGAGAAAAAATGTTTCTTAGAATTGTGCCAGGCTTTGTCAGTAGAGTGCATTTTTAGTCTGTGGTTTTCTCATGCTGGTGATGTCTCTAAACATTGGGATTGTTTCTGCCTCTAGAATTCAAGGAAGCCTTTTCCCTATTTGACAAAGATGGTGATGGTACTATCACAACAAAAGAACTGGGAACTGTCATGCGGTCACTGGGTCAAAATCCAACAGAAGCAGAATTACAGGATATGATCAACGAGGTAGATGCGGATGGTAAGTGTTGGGAAGGTGCTCTGATCATCTTTAATGTGTATGACCTCCATGCCTGGGCTTAAACTGCATTGGCAAGACTATGACATAGAGTTCTTATAGCACTTTCAAAATGCTAGATAGACTCTAAACTCAGAAGGATGTCAAAGCTGCTAGCAGTATTCATGAGACTGAAAACAAGCAATGGGCAGAGACAAAGTTATGCTATTTGTCTTTAATATTTTATGGGTCACAGGCTTCCTATTGATAGCTGACTTGCCCTGACCTACCATTAACCTGTCTTTCCATCCAGCTTTTCTGGTTTTCAGCCCATGCTGGTTTTAATAGCTTTACCAATGTCTGTGGTTTTGACTAAGGCAAAAAATGTGTTAGAAGTGGAATAGTGTTTTCAATGGAAGTTTAGCACAACAGGAAGCGTATATAGTCTATCTAATGTATTAAATCCCTAATAGATAGAGAGGGTCTATTGGAGGTAAAGGCAGAAAACCCTTCCCATATCAAGGCTAACAGAATTATTTTAAATGAACACCAGAAAGCCCATATTGAAACACATGCTGTATTTCTGAACTCCACATAGGCTAACAGTTTTAAAAAGGAATAATATTTCCCCTACTCAGGGATGTCAGGCCTTTAGTCTTATATGTTGGTTGTGATATTTTCTCTAACCATTTTGTAAAGAAGAGTGAAAGTATATTGGCAAGCGTATAAATTATTGCATTTTCAGGCCATATTAAATAAGCTACTTTCTTAAAAAAAGTAAGTTGACTTGAACTGCTAAGTCTTTGCAGAAACTGAAAAGCTTCAGTGTCTGCAGTGGTATGTAGAGTATGTGTATAGTAGCTTCTTTAGGCTGCAGACCAAAATGCTGCTCTGGTGGATTTAAATCAGAATGGGACTGAGGACTTCAGATAAGTATGCCTGCCTAATGGTTTAAATCTGGGTTACAGCAGAATGCATTGCTATACTTCTGCAAGTTCATTGAGGTTGTTTTCAAAAATGAGTGCGAGACCTGTGTTCATATTTTACCAATATGTAAAGCTGGCCATGATGATAAATAGCTTTGTATGTCTCAGGCTGGAATCCCTAGGATACAAGGATTTTCTTAAACTTCATTTGTTGCACAATGAATTTGTATGCTTCTTTATATCAAAGGGTAGATCTTACTTGCACAGTAAACTGTTTAATGTGGTTTTGTGAACTACTTCATGTGCCTTTTTGGCATATAGAGCCGAGTCCTGACTATATAAATCTAACTTCTATACCATATGGCTTTTTCCCCAGCTTTGAGCAGCCTGAAATATAAATCTTTGCTTTGAATGAAAAGCTTAATCTTGGGGGTGAGGCCTGGATGTCAGCAAGGATTTTCAGTTTTGCAGTAACATACCTGTAAGAATACCTACAGCTAAGCTTATCAGTAATAACAAATAATGTCAGCTTTTCTCGTGTCACTGGAATTTGCAGATTCTTGTTGCACCTTAAAATGGTTTGTTGCTTTTGTTGTGTGCAACTTTGGTTGATAAGGTAGTTGATTTTTTAGAAAGAAGAAAGTATTTACAGTTCAGTGACGTGTGATGTTCCCAAATATTAGATAACCTTGGATTGTAATGGCAGCTTAATATGTCTTCTTCCTGGAAGACACAACAATTGACAGATTATAAAGAAATTAAAAGGTTGATTTTTGTAGGAGTTATTTGAAGTAAAAATAAGTCTATTTATTGGTTAACCTTGAAGCATCAGACTGACATTTTAGTTGTAGCTTTGGTGGCAAATGGTGTGGCTTGTCCTTGAAAGAAGGCAGCAGTTGATTTTGTGCTGGAACAGAGTGGCTGCTCTGGCTGCTGCATGTTATAATAGCAAAGAGATAGTGGTAGCAATTTAGAAAGAACCTGTTAGTCTATAAGCATAGTTAACAGAGCATCTGGAAATCTTGTCCCTGGCTAAGTCAAATGCCAGATTTTTGTTTGTTTGTTAGTGAAGAAAAGCTTGGAAGTTTAATTTTTTGAAGTTTCTTTTTATTAAGGCAATGGCACTATCGACTTCCCTGAATTTTTAACCATGATGGCCAGAAAAATGAAGGACACAGACAGCGAGGAAGAAATACGTGAGGCATTCCGAGTCTTTGACAAGGTATTACTAAAAGTACAGCTACTCTTCAAAAGCACTAATGATGTCTGTATTTTCCTTAGTGTTTTCTCTCTTCTTGTCTAGAACGAGTAAGAGTCCTCTAGTAGAAACAGAGGAGTTGGAAACATAACACATTGTTCTGAATATAGAACCAAGACTGTTGCAGCCTGGTTCTACTTGCTTTGTACAGCAAGGTCTAAGTGTTAGGCTCATCCATGAGGAAAACTTTCTGGCCTTTCCTTAGAAGCAGAGATTAGTGGGATTTAATGCTTGGTGTGGGGCGGGGAGTGGGGGGGGGGTTGAGACGTGGGTAGAGAAGGGGGATTTTTCTCTACCTTTTGACTTTAGGGGGGAAAGGAGAAACATTTGCATGGATGCACATGGTTTTGTACTACCCTATGGAAGCTTTTGAAGTTAGGATTATGTCATCGGTATTTGGAGGGACACAAAGTATTGCATGTTCTCTTTTCAAAATGTGAAGTTTGAGGTTGCTTTCATGAAAACTTAAGAGCTCAGCTCCCTTGACCTTGTTTAAGAATACCTGGGCATATGTCAGTTTTCTAGAACAGGAGTTCACCTCTTCAGGTTGTTTGAACATGACAGATTTTATACAAGAATTGTGTGGAGTAGTGGCTGGTGCCGCTGTAAAGCTCATGCACATACATGTGTGGAAGAAGACTTCACTACTACTTCTTATAGAAAAAAGTGTCTGTCTCTAGTACTTTGCTGAAAATGTGGAGGTATTTCTGCAGACAAGATTAGTGTTTAAAGCCACTGAGGTAGGTTATCTACTAGATAGTGTATTCTTCCAGCATATGGAATTTCTGAAGTGGCTCAGAGTGAACTTTAGGTTTGGATGTTGCAAATGGGGACACTGGCTTAGAAGTATCTATTTCTCTTTAATTTTGCCATAAAACTTCTCAAAACTCCTTATGAGTACAATTTAAATGCTTTGTTTGATTTGTTCTTTATCACCTTATCCAAGAAGTCTAACATAATTGCAGTCTGGTTTTTGAGGCAGTGTTACCACAGAAGAGAAAGCTGACTTCATTCTTGCTGGTGGGGAAGCGGGTCTCTTTTTGACCTTGCTTAGGCAGCAGAGACTAAACAAAAACTTTTTTTGTTTTGTTTCTGTGTTTATTTTTGAAAGCTCTTTAAAAACATTAAAAATACCTTATCACAACTACAAGTCAGGCATGCAGTTGTTATTACAGCACAATGATTGTATGGAAGGATATGGTGTCATGCATGCCTCAGAAGGCGGGGGAACTGATACATACTGCAATTTGTACAGTGTGCCAGGTCTGCACATCTGTCCCAGGTGCTGTAGGGCTGCTCCAGAAGCAGTTACTGGAAACCTAGGTGTAGTTTCCATGTTAGTCAATGTCGGGATTGTTGTTCATGGTCTTGTGCAACTCTTTTCTCCTAGGATGGCAACGGCTACATCAGTGCAGCAGAACTACGCCATGTTATGACAAACTTAGGAGAAAAGCTAACAGATGAAGAAGTAGATGAAATGATCAGAGAAGCAGACATTGATGGAGATGGGCAAGTCAACTATGAAGGTAAAAAGATGCTTGTCTTGGCTCAAAACCATTATACAGACAGAGGAAAGGCTGTTGCATAGAGCATTAATTTTTAATACTTGAGACACTAGTTTATTTGCTTGTCTGCTTCTGTGGACAAAACCTTAGATGCAGTGAAAGGTGCTTTTTTTAATGCCAGCTGTGTTTTAGACACTTTTGATTTGAAGTACACTGGAGACAGTAAATCACAGTGACTCTTTATCTTTTCAGAATTCGTACAGATGATGACTGCAAAGTGAAGAGACCTCCTTTACACCTTTTTTCCTCTAGAAGAATCAAATTGAATCTTTTACTTACCTCTTGCAAAAAAAAAAATGTTCATTTATTCATTCTGTTTCTGTATAGCAAAACTGAATGTCAAATTACCTTCTGTCCACAAACTGCATGTAATGGTTGGTGGTCCTGTCCCTAAAAGATAAAGTTAAACATCAGTTTTACAATATAAATAATTGTACTACCTTGAAAATAAAAAAAAAAAAGGAAGCACTTAGTGAACTCGAAAGTTCCATTTGCTAATGACTATTACACTGTTTGGGCTGGCCAGTTTTTCATGCATGCAGCTTGACAATTGAGCACAGTCAGACATGTGTATTAAAAGGAAAAAAAACCTAAAGGATCCACTTTCTTGTTCAACAGTGGATTCTGTTCAATTTGTAGTATAAATTGTCATAGCTGGTTTACTTTAAAATTGGTTTATACCTCAGGATGGTATGCAGCAAAATGGTTGAAGGATGCAAAACTTAAAGAAAATGCCCTAAAGGTTGAATGGTTCTCCTGTACGTAGCAGTGTGCTCCAAAAATAGGATGATCTTAACTATGGATGGCATGTCTGTGTTAAAATACTGGTTTAACGTTGTCTGCATTGCACTATAGTGAAACGGGTGTCAGGCTGTTACCGTTCACAAAATTTTTAAAAGAAACCTTCACCAAGGGAGCATCTTTGGACTCTCATATTTTTAAAACCTTCTGTACCATGACTTGGAGCTGGCGGAGTAGCCTGTGGACTTCAGCACAACTATCAACATTGCTGTTCAAGATATTACAGTTTATGTCCATTCCAAGTTGTAAATGCTAGTCTTTTTTTTCCAATAAAAGACCATTAACTTAAAGGTGGTGTTAAATGCTTTGTAAAGTTAAAATATATATATATAATTGAGATAATAAACCAAAAAAGCAGTAGGAAGGAAGTGTTTCTATGAATGACTTGCTGCTAAATTATAATGCACATGTATGCAATAAGTTATCCCCTATCTTTTCAAGATGGCAAGAACTGACCTCCTGTAACCCAAGACCTTTGCTATAAATAAATGAACTTGTGCTTGCCTTTCATATTACGACAATGTTAATTTAGTTGGTCTCAAAGTCGTGTAATGCTGACTCGTCAACTATCAGCACAGAAGTAACACCTCATTTCACTACAGTGGAGAGCTCTGAGCATGCATGTCAATACTGGGGAAACATGTATAGGTTGCTTATGTTTTTTTGACAGGTTATAAAAACTAGTGGGAGAATTTAAACAGCATGGACTTCATAGATATCTGTGATTCTCAAACATGCCAAAAATGCATTTATCTGCCCACAGAAAGAAGTCAGAAGGACATTTTACAATATGTATTTTAAAAAACCAAATTAAGCTTTTTTGGAAACTGGGGCTATTATGTCTTGACTTCTCAAACACTTGCATGAATTTTGTGGGGTGGAGAAGAGGACTAGGGTTAATTTAAAAACGATCTTGTTACTTCTGCTTTGCATGCACTAGCAGTGCTTAGTCATTCCAGTTCTCTGAATAAGTGTTCTCTGATCCTTCAGCTTCCCCATGAATGAGTGGCAAAGCAGCCGTGTGCACTCTTCTTTGTCTGAAAGAAGAATGCTTCTTCTCTTTTTTTCTTTTTTTTTTTTTTCTTTTAAGCAGAGCCTCCATGTGGAAGGCTTTTATGCTTGGGAGGGAGGGACTACAGCATAATTACTGACTGTAAGTTTTTGTTTCCAAATGTAATGGGTTGAAAACCATAGTTGTTTGATTGCATTTGGTTTTGGAGAGTATTGATATCATCTCTAGAAAGAAAGACAAGTCTCCATTCATCCTGTCTAACTGAGGTGCGTGTGTTAAGAACTTGGTTTGCTCAGTGGTGGGGGGGGGTGTCAAGAACCACCTCCAGAAGGCAATTGAGACTACCTGCCTTCAGTGATTTTAATTTTTTTTCCCCTGGGGGGTGGGGGGAGTTCTGGGTGACAAAGGACCCAGACACCTTAACCAAGTGCCTAAAAGTTAGATGGGCTGAATGTAGGCAATTGCTTAGATATCTATTTGTTGCAAAGGCTTAATACCGTGGCTGTGAATGCTGTCCTAGCAAACTGGCCTCAACGATGGGAATGTCTGACTACCATTTGAAAGTAGAGTCTTGCATAGCAACTGCAAAATACTAAAGTAGTGCTTGAGAATGGCTGCACTGATTGTGTAGACCAGCTTTTAAAGAGAATGTACTCAAGAGACCAGCAAGGCAGGAACAATGGTTGCAGCTCTGAACTAATTACTTCTGCCTGGGTGTGCAGAGATCTTGTCTAGTAGGTAAATGCTTCTTACCATCTACCTGTCATTCACTCATGGTTGGTAGGGTAGTTCACCTAAGAACAGCTGTTTTTAGCTTACTCAGTGTGCTCTGTGCTTGCTAGCAGAGACCTCATCCTGCAAGAGGTTCTTGGCTTGATTAGAAATTGTCTGGCAGTGTGCAGTGTTGGTATGCCCTGTAACTGAATCTGCCTGGAGGTATCTAATTATTAACTGACTTCAGTACCACATCAACCTCGAGTAAATGTATCCTCTGTACAGGACTTAAGCTCTGTTCCCTTCTGCATAGTGAATAACTAGAAAAATGAAATGGTGTCATCAAGGTATTTTAAATTTTTTTTTAATTTTTTTTTTCCTGTGAGTGTGTGTGTGTGGCTTTGGCTTTTTCCAAATGTGAAAGTGTGGGCTGGATACACTTGGTGCATGGCTTAGAAACATGGGACTGGAAAGAACTTCCTGGGTCATCAGATCCAGTCCCCTGCTATTGCAGGCAACCGTGTCATATAATCCTTTTAATAAACTGATCAAGCTTAAACACCTGCTTGTAAGTGGCTTGTTTTCATGGAAGTTCTGTAACTCATGTTGCTCTCAACTGATGCAAATAATATATGAAATATGAAGTTAATCAAAAGGTCCTCCAGCTTAGGTTTAGGTTTATCATTACATTTATTTAACTGACTTTCTTGAACCTGTTATTATTTGCACAACACTCAGGAAAGTGTTGAGTCTTTACCCCTCTTGCTATGAATAAGAGTTGGTGTGCTTGCTTATTTTTTTTAATGGAAAAGATGGATGTCTGGCTTGTTGAAACCTGTTAGATATGTTAATTGTCAAGGCAAGAAACAGTTGAGTTACTTGTATTTGATACATAAATTTAAGGCTAGAGTATACATAACCATTTTTAAAACACATCAACTTGCAGTGTAGTTTTATATTTAATACTGAAATTGTACTGCTAAAGTTTAAACTGCTGTTAATCATATTCCTCTTCTGATCATAATGAAAAAATAAAGGGTAAGAAAATACATAGATTATTCATTATCATGCTTATTTTATTAATAATTCAGGTATTGAAACATCTCCAGGTATGGGGCATTTGTTCTGTTTGCTGGGATGGGCTGGAGTGAGGGGTGGGGAGGGTTACTGATATAGGAAATTCTTAATCCCCAACCATTTGTCACACTTGCACAGCTTCAGAAGCACAGACATTATAAGAAACTTTAATAAAGGGCCCTGTACCTTAGTGATGCCTTAGATGCACATGTGGGGGTGGGGCTGGGCAGGGGACAGTGCTGTGGCTGCCAGGCCCTGCGCCCTGCCCAGGGCAGGTGGGGCTGTGTCCTGGGCCCTGGATTGCAGCACGTGTGTGATGTGAATGCAGATTCTTGTTCCCAGATGACAACATCCTAGGCTAAAACCACAGTCTTGGGGTTTAGAAATACCAGAGTTAATACAGCTTGCTTATCCCCTGCCATGAGACTAACTGGAACACTCGTTTTGCTGCAATCCCGTTTGGGTTTCAGTTCTTTTTATTTCATAGTGTTGTTTTAGTTTGGGTTTTTTTGGTTTGGTTGGTTGGTTTGTTCATGGGGGAGGGGGGGTGATGCTTGGTTGGTTTGGGTTATGGTGTTTTCTTGTTCAGTTTTTTTTTTTTTTTTCTCAATTTGCTAAGTGAAATCTGACATGGGACTGTGGTAGAACCACATGTTCTTCTGATACACAAACAGAACCGTCAAGTGAACATAAGCAGTGAAGGCTGATGCCCTGGTTCTCCTGAATGACATTTAGGAAACTAAATATTTTATATTTAAGTAGAGTGGGTGGATCTTTAAAATCAGCAAGACAAACATACCAGGTTGTGTGGGGATTTTTTCCTAACAGCATTGCAATTCCAAAATATTAATGATGTTGGGTATTTTTAAAAATCAAAATACAAGATTGTGAATTAATGAATTACATGATGAATTTTGTAAAGAACTGGGATTCCAAAGATTCTTGATGTTGTTGACTATAGAAACTTTGCATGAAGGCTCAAGTATTTAGTGGATTTTATGTTTTCTAAGAACCCAAATCAGTGAGTTATCCTAGGGTAGCAGTCAAAGGATATTTATTTAAAAGAGTTGGTAATTTCTTTAATAGTAATAAATTGGGTTTTGAACTGAAGTGAACAAGTATCCCAATAAATGGCAGACCTGCTGATTAGGTAGACAGCAAGAAAACCTCTTACAGTCTCATAGATGATTAGGCACAGTTGTTATCTAGCAGTAAATTAGTGTGTTGCTCCCTATCCGACTAATGACTGTAACCAGGAGCAGTGCACACTTCAAAGCACAGCACGGCCCTTTTGGCCTTCAAACTATTAAACTCCAGGAGAAAAACCTGCAAACATTTAATACAAAAAAAAAATTGTATCACAGGGTTAAATTTCTCCCATATCCCTGTGGAGACCAGCACTGTGGAGTAATGCTAAAGAAAGTTGAGAAGCAAATCTCCCAGCATTACCACCAGTGACCCTCAAAAAGAAGTTGCAAGTTGTCCTTTCCAGCATGCCTGTAGGTGAGGGACAAAGCTAGATGTGCCTGGCAGTGGGTACCACAGCCTCATTTGTGGTGTTTTCTTCTTTTGATCCTTCATAGAAGTTTCATTGACTGGAAAATCGTGCACAGACCTCCTCAGGAGCTTCTTTCATTTCAGTTGCCTTAGAAGTCAGCATCCACAGAAATACTGAAAGAATTATTCACAGTGCAGCATTTTCCTGACAAAAAAAATTCCTAAAATAGTGGTTGAAGTACAATATGAAAACTGTCCTAATAATCTAAAAATTAATCAAAATTATTTCTGAATATTCTTTATTTCCAGATCTCTAAATATGATCTATTTCAAAAACAGTTTCTTCAACAAATGTCATGCTTGCTCTAAAATTTGCGGCATTTAAAATGAACACAATATGTGAACAGGAACCAACTGAATCAACTGAGAAAATTATAAAAAGGCATTAAAAAGCACTCCCTATTTTACCAGTTTGCAGTGGGATTGGCAATAATATTGCTGTCAGTATAGCAAGCATTCTGAAAAAGGGTATGGTGAAAGAAATGGATGGAGGGAGAGTAAAAAGAATACCTGTCCATGGGACTGCTTTATAGTCTTGTCCTGCCAAGTTTTTGTTGTCCATAAGGCTGTAAATATTTAATTGTGGACTCCCTGAATTTTTTAGCAGTGGTGCTGGTACTCAGTTTGTCCAGTTGTCCTGGCTCCGCATAGCTCCACCCTGCTCCATGCTAATTTCATATTTACCTGAAAATATATAACATGGAAAAGCTGTCAGCCTGCTGCTGTTCAGAACTTGATAAATGTGCTCTGCTTGTTCTCAGCTTTTTAAAAGAATATATTTAAAAGAATAATTTCCTGCAGGTAGTTTGTTAGGAGACAAAATACAACCACGATTTCATAAAAGTTTTACTGACTATATTGTGGAGAGAAATTTTAGCCCAGAGTATTTAGCTGTCTAGGCATCTCTGTGCTGTATCAACAAAATTTCTC